ACGGGCTCAATGTAAGCGGCCGCTCACCGGTGGCAGCGTCTTCCGAGCTTGCGAAAACGTATACTTTAATGCTCTGTTTCCGTTGCGTCTTCTGTTGTGCAACGTGTGTCTTCCCCTCGTGCATTATGTTCTTCCACAGAAGACGAGTTTGTCTCAAAACAAACTTTTTTTCCCTTTTAATATGCTATAGATGCCACTTTGCTGAAACCATTGAATCCTAGAATGGTTTAGGTTGGAAGGTACCTTAAAGATAATCGAATTCCAAACCCTGGCCATGGGCAGGAACACCTTCCATAGATTTGCACCAGTCTATGTTTGCATTTTATTTGCTCATAATGAACTAAATCTAAGAAATTGATAGATTGAGGGTTTGTCCACATTGATTTCTCTGCTCCATAGTCTCATATCACACACAGTATTTCTGTTCATAGAATGCTAACTGTAGAAAGTAGAATTGGACAGCTCTGTTTCTCAATGTGCTGGTGACAAGTTGGTTTGTAACTTCGATAACATAGCAACCAACCTGCTTAGAAAATACATGTGATCTTACTCATGATTTGAATTTGTAAAAAAAACCATAAATAATCAAATCAATGTCTCTAAAATTAAACCTCATCTTCAAATAATTGAAACCTATTTAAACATTTTTTTGCTCCTACTTAATATTTTGGTAGTTAAATAGATAATGTCCTGAGCTCAATATTCTGCAGATAAAGTCCAGCAGCCATTAAAATCAGTTGAAAGATTCAATGTGACTTAGAAAAATAGGTGTTGGGAGCTCTAGTATGAAAAAGAGTTTCTTTAAAATAAACATATGCTTATTTTGCATGGTATAACCTCTGTCCTTTCTATTGTCTATTGACTACAGTAATGATTTCATTGTTTAATAAAGAGCTTCAATGTTACCAGTATACAGACATGTAGTTGGAAAGCAAGTACTTACACTGCATATCTGTGGGTTTTGCTTAGAAACCTGAAAGTACTGAGCAGAGACAAAATGGCCTTAAAATGGTGGACCAAGCAATATGGTCCAAAAAGATGTCAAACGGCGCGAGGCGCATACCAGTGTCACCCGATCAGGTAACTCATTCTTAACATTTTGTTAACTTGTTCGTTCATAAAGCCTTTTGGTGTGATGCTGTGTCTTAGTGGACAAGCATAGATACCCTTTATACAGCAAATTCGGATAGTGCTAGTGTGTGACCTAACTCTGAAGATCTGAGAAAATTAAGATCTAAAATGGTTCTTCAAGGGCTGGGCTCGGGAGGGATGTTTCTTTGTCCTTTCATGCATAAAAAATTACTGGTAAAGTACTTGTCGGCAGCATTTGTTTTGATGACATTTCAGGCCAGATCATACAACAGACAGATGCGGCCAGCTATTTTAGATCACAGTTCTGGGGCCAAGTGGACAAACACATCAAATCATCCTGAATTTTTGGTAGGAGAAGAGGTAAGATTCATTTTCTTGCTGAAATGAGGCTCCGTATTATATTTTAGTGCAGCTGTGTAATCAGTAGCAGTTTGCTCTAAGTTAGTATGTGCTGAAAGATGCAGAAATTCAGTCAAGCAATACAGGAGAAGCTTTACTGTGGACTAACAGGATATTTATTATCATTCAACAAGATGAGACTATTTCCCCTGTTTGCCTGACATGTATCCTGGATCCTTTGCTGCCATAAATCAGTGTTTCTGCAGTGACTAGGCTAGAACTTTGCCCATTTGGTATAATTCAGAGAAAAGACAAGAAATTGATTAAAGGATCGGTACATGAAATCACTGCTGAGTAATTACATATTCGTGAGCTTCAAAGAGTCTTTAAATTATTTTAGTTTCTAATTTCAGATAATGGAAAAATATACCATTATGCTTAGTAGATGGCTATGGATATGAACATTCAAATGATTTAAATCATGTCTTTTTTTATTTAGAGCCTTATAATCAGGCCCTGTTAAAAAGAAATCCACTGTATTGCTGTTTCATCTGTCTGAGTGCTGCTGTATGTCTTGTATCTGCTTCTGAAATATTTGTGTAATATTTAATACTAATATTTGGGGAGCAGCAATGCATAGAATACCATCTCTTATTTTCAGGCACTGTATGTTAATCCACTAGATTCGTACAATATACATTGGCCTATAAGAAGAGGTCAGTTGAATCTCCATCCAGGACCTGGTGGCTCCCTCACTGCAATATTAGCAGACCTTGAAGTTATATGGTCACATGCAATACAAAAATATCTGGAAATACCGCTGAAAGACCTAAAGGTGAGCTGTGAACACATTCACATATCCAGTTCTGCAAATGTTGCTGTAACAGAGAAGCAACCTGTTGTTATTGGTAGCCTCTTACTGGTGGTTTTCTTAAGAAATAAATTATTTCTGCTGATGAGCATGGTTCCTAAGACTTCATTTGGAATTTTGACCACGTCTTTAAGACAAAAATTAATAGAATTTATTTATATTTTTCCATTGTGGAAATTTCAGTCTTAGTCTGTTTGTTGGTTTTTTGTTTGTTTTTAATTTTGTGTTGACCGTAAAGAAGGCAACCAAGGAATGGTTGCCTAATACTTGCATAATTTATTGTCCTTGCAAAGTAGGTATGTTCTCATATCTGAGGTACTTCTAAACATTTTAGTGGCCTATATGCTCTTAACTTGGTACTTACTTTGAACTCATTTTTTAAAGTAATAAAACCCTTCTTTCCATAATTTCAGTTCTTTTAATAATTTGTGTATTATGCTTTCTTCCTTAGCGGTAGGTATTCAAGAATGTAAAGAGCAACTTAATTTGAGAGCTGGCTATAATTTACTTATCTTTAGTACTACAGGTGCATTTTACTGATTCCAGACATCTATAATAAACAACACGTGAAAGAACTGGTAAATATGATCCTAATGAAGATGGGCTTCTCAGGTAAAACCATACAGAAGCAAACACTTAATGATTAATGCCATAAAGATTAATTTTTTTTTTTCCCCATTAAGGCACATTTTTGCACATCACTCACAGTTTGACTGGGACTAGCACCTTCCATATTTTGCTTTTCTCCTAACTGTTGTCTCTTTTAATTGTACTCTTCTATGGGGCTGACGGGGGGTTTAAAGGAAAGCAGAGGGTGAAATTAGACCTTATTTTATAATTACTTAAAGAACATATCTGAAATGCCACAGGTGATAATAAATGATAAAATCATTTGATAATATCATTTGATAATCAAATGATAGTCATTTTAATAAAATTATATTTGATTAAAATTAGAAAAAATTAGGAAAATGCTTCATGTGCATCTGATAACCAAGACCATGCAATACTAGTTAAAAAAACCCCAAAAAACAAAACAAACCCCCAAGTCCGACAGCAGTATCTAATCTTACACAAAATAAGAACATTTGAATACAGGCATCCACAACGCTTGTAGCTTTTCTCAAGCCTTTTAAGGACTTACCCAACAAAAAAAAATCTGTAAGCCCACTCCCATCTTCACTAAATATACAGACTTTCAGTGAAGAATCAGGCTATTAATAGATTTTAAAAGAGATTTAAATGTCCTTTAAATGTCAGCAACATGGCTCTGGCACTTCACAGAAATTGGATATAACTTTTTCTCACACTGCTAGGAATTGTTGTACACCAGGAGTCGGTCTGTGCTACCTTTGGAAGTGGTTTAGGCAGTGCCTGTATAGTAGATGTGGGAGATCAGAAGACAAGCGTTTGCTGCGTAGAAGATGGTGTTTCCCATCGCAACACCAGGTATCTTTTTATATGCAGAGTAATCATAAGCATGTACTTTCTTGCTTACCAAAGATTTGAGTTTAAAAATGAGAATTTTTTTCTATAAATAACAGGGTTTTTTTACTCTTAGTCATCTAAGAGGGTCATCATGTTACAATATGAACCTTAAAGAATTCTAACATCTTTAAAAGAAGAAAATGGGCAGAACTGATACTGTGCTCTGCAAACTATATGGAAGTAATGATAACAGCATGTCTAAAATGTTCCCGGTATTCCTATGCATCCTACTGTAGAAGGCCAGTATTTCAGCAAATAAATAGAAGACCCTCTCTCTTCCCTGTGTTTTAGGCTGTGCCTTGCATATGGAGGATCTGATGTGTCAAGGTGTTTTTACTGGCTTATGCAACGAGCAGGATTCCCATATAGAGATTGTCAGTTAACTAATAAGTTGGATTGCCTGCTGCTTCAGCACCTAAAGGAGACATTTTGTCATCTAGACCAGGTGAGGAGGAGCAAATAGTGTATTCACCAAGCAATTTTTTTCTTTCCTTTACAGAATGCTGCTTTTGGTGAGCCTGTAATTGCTTATAAAGAGAATAAATAGTAATGTGTTACTCGATATAATGACAAGAGTCTGAAAAGCTTTAGACTTGAAGTATTTGTAATTCAATTTATTTTTCTTCTAGTTAAAAGGAATCCCAACTCTTAGAAAGGTTGGAGGTTTTGTCCTTATTACTGAAAGAAGCTGATAGTAGCTGCATATTCACTGTTGTTCAACTTCAGTTACTTGGAAGATCTGCCAGCAAGGCCTCTCTCTTCTTTCTGCACAAACCTTTGTTTTAGAGGCTTAGGCATGTAGAAAGCTGTTTTAGCAGATCATGCTGCAGCAAAAAGACTTTAAAAATAATTCAAAAATAGGTAAATTACATTCATAGTCTGAAAAGTTTTGTTACTCTTTGTTGTGCCTACAGTTTAAGTAGATCATGTGTATCTAAAAGACACAAAGCTAAAATTTTTGTTTACATTGTTTTTGATTTTAGGATATTTCTGGATTGCAAGATCATGAGTTCCAAATTCGGCATCCGGATTCTCCAGCTTTACTGTACCAGTTCCGTTTAGGGGATGAAAAATTACAGGTGATTTTTTTTTTTTCAATTACAAGAATTATATTCACCATTTGGGTCCAGTGCTACTAAGCTCACATGATTTATGGATTGCTCTTAACATATACTTGTTGATAGTTTTAAGATTAGTTACTATATGCATGAAGGGGCCTAATGGAGCACTAGTGGGTACTCCACAAGACTTCCTTTCTAGCTTTAGCTAGAATGGTTGTAGCTTCAACTAAATATGATATAGCCTTCAAGTGCAAGGAATTCTAATTTTGCGAGTTTTTCAGCTCACCATTGAATATTCTAATTTGGTAACAAACTGCATTTGAGTACTTCTTCATTGTAGAATGCCAGAATTTGTCAAGGTACTTGGTGTACAACTACAAGTGTATTTGTTGGTTTGTGGGTTTGTTTTGTTTTTAATTGCGCAAAGCTGAAGACACTTAAGCCTTTTACAAAACTCTTTGGAAAAAATGTATTTAATTTTGAACTGTGAGAAAAATGGAACAAGACTTTTCTGTTTGGTTTTTTTGTTTTTTTTTTTTTATAGTAAATGCCAAAAAAAGTAAAACTGTGGAGTAAACACATGCCAAATCTCTCATCCTTCAGGCTCCAATGGCTCTGTTTTATCCAGCAACTTTTGGAATTGTTGGACAAAAAATGACAACTTTGCAACACAGGTCACAAGGTGACCCTGAGGATCCTCATGATGAACATTATCTGGTAGCCACACAAAGTAAGCAGGAGCAGGTGTGTGAATGCTCATTTTATTTTTCATTAAGTATTATTTAATTGGGGAATAAAATCAGCTCACCTTAGAAACCAAAGTTTGTTACCTGGATCAGAGCATGAAAGAATAAACTTTACAGTAAGGAATTATGGATGTCTAGACAACTTTTTAATTAGAACTGTGTATTTTCAGAGTCTGAGGGCTTCATATTATGGCATTGATAGATCTGATGGAGTTCAAAATAAAACCATTACTTTGACAGTGGCAATTGAAATGAAAATTATGCAAGGTAATAATGCAGTGCTTAGCCTTTCTGTGATGAAGGGAAATACAGTGGCATTTAGTTAAGTCTTTGTATTGTTCTCTTACCTGCTGAAGATATCTCTGCATTTTTCATAGTTTACCTTGTTTTCTCTTTTTTAAGTCTTCAAAAGCTACAGCTGATAGAAAATCTATGTCAAAGCCTGGTGCATTTGAAGGTGACTTGAGAGGCCAAGCCTCAGACATCTCAGAGAGGGTGTACCCACAAGAAGTGGAACTAGGATCTTCGCAGAGCGATTGTATGATATCTGGAAATGATTCAGAGGAACCCATAACGGCACACATGTCCAGGAAAACAGCTATTTCGCAGTTTGAAGGCAAAGCCTTAGGCCTTGATAAAGCCATTCTTCATAGTATTGACTGCTGCGGTAAGAATTCCACTTGTACAATTCTGGAAAACATGCATGTCAGTGTGGATTCATGGTAACTCCTAGGTTTCACTGAAGTAAGATGTGCGTCCCTAAGTTTTTATCATTTCTAGAGTAGCTACACTATTCCTTATACTTGCATCTTTGTTGAGATTTCTTGAGCTAGATATTTTGAATCTCCAGGGAATTTTAAAAGCAAACATTTTCTATCTGGTTTGACTGGCACTAAATTCTTTATAATACAAATACAGGCCATTTTAACTTTAAAAAACAGATATATTTCTTCATATCCATTCATTCCAGCATCTGATGATACAAAAAAGAAGATGTACAGTTCTATCTTAGTAGTGGGAGGAGGCCTCATGTTTCATAAAGCTCAAGAGTTTCTTCAACACCGAATTCTCAACAAAATGCCACCCTCCTTCAGACGAGTTGTTGAAAATGTTGAAGTCATCACAAGACCTAAGGTATACTTCTACTGAAAACTAAATGGTTAATAAACTATGATTGATTGAAATCTTTGAAAGATTAAACAAACCCAAACGTGCTCTTTCTTCCCTGGAGGTGTTCAAGGCTAGGTTGGACAGAGTCTTTGGTGACATGGTCTAGTGTGTGGTGTCCCTGCCCATGGCAGGAGGGTTGGAACACGATGATCTTAAGGTCCTTTCCAACCCTAACTATTCTAGGATTCTATGTTCCTTCAAAACCACAGATTAGTTGAACATCTGAAGAGATTTAGGAGAGCTTTCAGCACACAGTACTCTCCACTTACAGGCAGGATGTTAGAGGTATAGCAAGAGTTTTACTAGTATTGACCACTACAGTTTTAATTAACTAAAAGCCATATTCTTAAAGAAACAGTTAGTATTGGTCTCTGAAGTTAAGAAAGCTCAGCAAGAAATTGCATTAGGGTTTATTATTATTATTATTAAGAAAGTATGGCATTAAAAGAGCCATTTTCACTTAACATTAATCAGGCAAATTTGTAAAATCAAAACTTGACTTTATTTCAGAGCCTCCATTGCTGAATGCAGGATGTTCATGACATGCCTAGAAGGCATCTTAAAAGGTGACTTCTTGAAACATCTTTATTCTTTCCAAATTTTTATCTCAGTATTTTTTCCTGAATAATTTTGAAAAACTTCTTTTTTTCCTTCCCTTCCCCCAAGATCCTAAGAGGTGAATACAGTTGGAAAAATTATTATGCAACTTTGGAGAACTATGCAAAATTAGACCAGTGATTGTGTACAATCTGTGTTTTGAATTTAGGATATGGATCCCCGCTTAATAGCATGGAAAGGAGGTGCTGTTTTAGCCTGTCTTGATACAACTCAGGAGCTGTGGATATATCAGCGAGAATGGCAACGGTTTGGTGTCAGAATGTTACGAGAACGAGCTGCATTTGTATGGTAATGAGTGGATATGGTTACAGTGGAACCTGCCTAATTGAAGATTCCTTTCTCCAAATGCCCCCTTTTTCCAGTGCAGATGTATTGATCTTCTGCTGATAGATATTTTTGTATTTTATTAAAATTAATTTCAACTGAGATTTTTTCCAAGTGATGCAAAAAATCTTACTGAATGCACATCACTTCAGCATTGCTATCCTTCCTTTTTTGAATTGTATGCACTGAAGTCTGTGTAGAGAGTATCTCGGCCATCTCCAAATTTACTATATTTGTATTATACAAGTTATGCATATGAAAATTGCACCATGTGGGAATTTGAGGCATAAAATACTGATGTGGCAGATGTTAAACCCAGGTTCATGCCAGATACACGTACACAGAAGCAATAGCTGAAGAGTGCAGGTTTAATGCCTTATTCTGATTCCTACTATAATGTTATCAGGAGATAGAATTGTTGTAACAATTCCATAATTGTTATGTAATGTAGATCATCATGGAAAAAGTGAAATGGAGACCCCAAACTACAGTTGCTGTTAGTATTTTGCTTATATAATAAATTATGTTATTCAGTGGAAAGACTTAAGAATTCAGAGTATTTTTTCTTCCCTGTTCTCAACATCAAAAGCTCTTGGTAGTTTCTTATTATCCATGGTAGTTATTTACTTTTTTCGCTATTTAAAAAAGAATCCAATATAATACACCCAGAAGAACTAGATGCATTTTTATATAGCCAGCAGCAACGTCAGTCCTATGGTACAGGTACATGGGCTTTTTCTCCCAACAGCTAATCCTTAGCTACAGAAGTGCTATTTATTGAGGATTTTCTTCTGTAACAAAGGCTCCTGCTATCGTGACTTTTGACCAGCACACCATTGTACAGGACCTTTTGCAATAATTCTCCTTTTCTCCCACATGGCTACAGTAACATCAGTCTGGCAGCCCTCATGCTGCCAGCAAAAGAAAGGACAGTGTGATGAAGACATTTCTGGATATTCAGACAGTATTTTTAACATGGTTGTAGCTGTACCTGGTTGAAGTACTGCCTAAAAGAATCTGTTTAACAAAAAAGACCCCATATGCTCCCTTAAAATGTTACTATTTCTACAAACTGTGAACAATTTGAATGGCATTCTAAAGTGGCAGGGGGGTGGGGGAGAGCTGACTCTGTGCCTCTTACTTTTTCCTAGAAGAAATTAGATAACTTGGTATAAAAGTATGAATAGCAAAACTGCTGAACTAAAATTAGAATTTAAAACTTAGATTCCCATCGTCATGATGAAATAGATCCAATTTAGACACCTTACTTGTCTCCAAGAATGTTGAAAATAGTTAAGCAGAACAGTGTTCAGTAGCTAGAACAGCTTAAGGTCATCTACAGTGAGGAAGCAGCCTTACATTACAGACTTAATCTGTTAATCATTCTGCAAAACTAATACTGTGAGAAAATGTGCTAAGCAAAGAAAAATTAAACACCAGAATGCTCACATGATCCCAGCTGATGTTTGCTAAAGAGGAAAGCTCTAACTAAAAATGGTCCATGCTCTAAATGATTCACTGATTTTACAAGTGTTTAAGAGATTAAATATTTACTCTTCATTTAAGGGAAATAAAAACCAATGAATGAAAAAGGCCAGGCCTGCCTTAGGAGGTAGTGTGGTAGAATGGTAGAGACAACAGAGAAAAAACAATCGGGCCAAGATACAGTAAGTATTTCAGGGAGTTACTGCAGCCTAGCTCTAGCCCATTCCTGTGGCCTGCACACCCATTAGTGGTTGGGCTATGTTAGATTGACTAGAGCCCATCTTCCAGTTTAATTCCATTTGAGAGAATCAAGGCTGCACTTCTCAACCACCTGCAATATGAACCAAACCACAGTGAGGGCAGTGAGCAATGCTCTTCAAAAGTGCAATACTGATTTAAACTAAAACATTGATGTGACCACATCTGCACTTGCCTAAACAAACTTGAGAGTTTCTATTACAATGATACCTAAAAGATAGTCTCTTTCATAGAATCTTATCTAAAAAGATGTTTGCAGCAAAACTCAAGAGGAATTACAGAAATACTAAAGTTTGAAACAGCAAGAGCTCTGACCTTGGTCTGTGATGGCACAGCTCCCACAGCAGTTATACAGGCTATCACCAGCAGAGCAGCAAGGAGAAAACACACAAGTCTTCCAGGTGAATCAATTGTGAAGATCTCTGAAAGAGAAAGCAATCACATTGAAACAAGTCTCTCATACCTGAAAAAAAACCTATTTTCAGTTAGTGGATTAGGGAAATGGCATTTCAAACATCTGCATATGGAAGAGAAATTGTGCTAAAAGGTAGTGAAAAATGGTAAGTAGTTACACTGCAAACCTCAGAGCTGTTGACTTATTTTCTTAGTTTTCTTCCCTACTTTAAAGAAACAAGATGTAACAGTCTGAATCTGCTCCTTCCAAGTTCTTCCCATGTTTCTGGAATATGTACCTCCATCTGCAGCCCAAGGTCTCAGCAGTTGTTCTCTCTTTCCTTTTGTTTAAAGTTTTACCATGAGCAATGTTACAAAATAAGTAATTCCTGAACTGCAGCATTACTGTATTAAGCATAAACCTTCAAAATCTAAGAGATGAAAGGTAAAATGTGCCAAGGCCACTGTACTTAAATTCATCTAAGACCAAAGTCAGCTGCTTCTTAACAGGATATCAATATTCAAATATCTGTACTCCAAAGCATTTCTTTTCCCAGATTTTTGCAAATTTATAGGGGAAAGTCTGCTGAACATATATGATACATAATGCAACAGAAAACACTGAGCAGTTTCTGCTTAGTTTGCATGGAATATTGACTCAAGAATGATAAATATTCAACTAGCCACTGGCTTTCATCTGCACACTGCTTGTTAGGTTTTCTGTAGGGTCTTTCTTGCATCCCTCACTTTGATTCTCACATTGATGAAATTAGGTGCTGATTCCACTGAAGTAAACCAAGTTATTCCAGGGGGTAGGGTGGGGAGGGGGGTGGGGAAGAAGACATAACAAAAATTCATACCATTTCCAAAACTGAGAAATAAACGTTCATATTTTTCACATGGTAGCCCACTGGTTGAATAAGGCAGTTTTACAGCTGAACATAGTGCTAACTCCAAATCCTCTATCTTCCACTGCAACAACGTAATAAAGAAGCCTTCACAATTCTGTAATCTAACCTAATTACAGAATCTAATTCTGTAATTCTAAAGCTAATTAAAGCAAGAACATTAATGGCTTCCTAGATAATTAATAGTGCTGCTTGTTCACAATATAAACCTAAGCAAGTTTATTAACACATTCTAAATGTACCTTTCTGCATCTAAGTGCCCCCCTCTAACAGTTAGGACTAATGCCAGCAGGGCAGCAGCTAACACTGCTTGCAAAAATCACCCATCTCTATTAGAATGCACGTCTTGAATTGCACGGTGACTGGCACTGACACTTGTTTTTACATGCAGCTATTCCTACAAATATTTAGCAAAAATGTAAAACATCAACTTCTGTTCTCAATTTAGATGCAAATTCAAGGACACAAACATACTCCTGGGAGCCAAAGTTATCCATAATGTATTTAATGAAATTTACTAACATGAAATTTTGAGTGTCTCTTTAAAAGGAGATTATATTGCAAAATTAAGGTAAGAATACTATTTTATGTCTACATGTACTTTTCATTATAAAGGATTTTAGAGGGTTTTAAATAAATAGTTACTATAACCACTTCTGAGGTTTAATAGATGACAAAACCAACCATTAGCTGTACGTTGTGAGAGCGATTATTATCCATTTTGTGACATCAATGGAGGACAAAAAAAACAGTATTAACTGCATTAAAATAAAAGGATGCTATTTATTTTGAAGTTTACACAATCACTGCAACAGTATTTGAGCATTTTACTAGAAACAGCTTAGGAAACATATTCATTAACATTTAAGCCCCAAGTACAAATGCAGAATTGAGGTAAAGACTTTGAGCAACTTTCTTAAAGGGAGACTTGATCAAGATCTGAGAGCTCAAATGTATGTAGAAACAAACCCCAAAGCTCAAGTTTTCCACTATATCCCTATTTGAGCCATTGAGCAGTACAAACCTATAAATGACCAGTAACATATAGGTCCATGCTATACATGACCAGTGTGCCAACTGGCAAGGTTCACACAGTTAGGCACAGAAGCTTAAATTTTCTATGAGGTCAACAACACATTAACCACATATAGGCTTTGCATGTACACACATATCTAATATTTAATTGTAGCCTTCATCATTATACTTATTCCAGTCACACAAGGCCGTATTTTTTTAGCATGTCATGTGGAAATTGCTTACAGAATCCCTTATTAAAAATGGATTTACTTTTCCTCTACTGTAAACATGGCTGAAGAGAGATGAGTACCTTTTTCTTGTATGCTTGCAAGTAGGATTGACTCAAAAAGATGGAAGTCCTGTCTCTATGCTAGTTTGGAACATACAAACAGGGCAGTTCTAAAAAGTAACTTTACATGGGCTGCTTTGCACATTTAAACAGTGACAGATGCTCATGACACTTGGCGCTCTGCTAAACAGAACTGGAATATTTAAAAATCAATTCTGTTTTCTTTTATAGTCCTCTCAAGTTATTTATATTCTTGTAGAAGCTGGAGTAGAAATCAGTATAAATTGTTACTATTAGATGCAAGAATAGTTGCAATATATTCTTGGAATGATACATCGTAAAAGACAATGTAGCAAAACTGGAGCAGGTTAAATTATAGAAAATCTTCAAGTGTCACTATGCCTCGAGTATCCATATAGATAATACAGCAAACTCACTTTGAATTTGTTTCTTGTCTACTTCAGTCAGAGCTTTTGTAGCTTAAAAAAAGATAATGGCCTCCTTTTGTTTAAGTTTCTGACACTGAAGATAATCCTGATTTCTGCTAGTCTATTTTAAAGAATTAGGACCGCAGAATTTTAGCATGTGGACCCATCCATTACTTTTCTGTGGTTTTGGTTCTTTTCTGGGTTTCTGTATTGTTTCATTCCTGATAAATATGTACTTTCTCACTTTTCCTTTCATTTACTCACTTTTTCCTGTTGTGATTGTATTTACAGTGTCT